TCCACAGTTTGACTTCACTTACTGATACACAAAAGTTTTTCTAGTAGTTCTAAATTTGCATATTTTAAACTGTGATTCCTTCCTTAATGTATAGATTTGCTCCTTAGTCTTAAACAGGTTTTGAATGTTTTCTGGTAATTGTTTATTTTTTGCTTTGTAAAGAATTAGAGCTGTCTGTAGTTTAACTATGTCAATGAACTTTAATAATTTAGATTTTACAAATAGTGTATTAGTGCTTTCTAAATATTCCACATGATGGATTATTCTTACTGCTCTTTTTGTAGTATTGTTAATGCCTGTAGTGTAGTTATGTAATTATTTCCCCAGATTTCTGCACAATAACTTAAATAAGGTAAGATTAGCCAACAGTAGAGTACATGTAATGCTTTTTGTTTTATGACTGTCTTGGCTTTGTTTAAGAGGGCGATATTTCTTGACTTTACTTTGAACATATTTTATGTGGTTTCCAGTTGAGTTTATTATCAATAATGACACCAAGAAATTTGTTTTCATGAGCTCTTTTTTAACCCCATCTATTTGTATTTGAATTTCTGTATGTGATTGACAGTTCCCAAATAACATTATTTTTGTTTTGTTTAGGTTCAAGGACAGCTTATTTTCATCAAACCACATTTTAAGTCTATTCAGTTCATTAGTTACATCCTTTAACAGTTGTTCCATGTCATCTCCAACACAAAAAATATTTGTATCATCAGCAAATAATATACTTTTCATTATTTCAGGTACAATATATAGATCATTTACATAAATTATAAACAGTTTGGGACCCAGGACTGACCCCTGAGGAACCCCATAATCAATGTCCAAACATCCAGAACAAACATCTCCTAACTTCACATACTGCTGTCTGCCTTTCAAATAATGTTGAACCCAGTCTAGTGCTACTCCCCTTATCCCATAGCGTTCAAGTTTTTTTTATTAATAAATCATGATTGACTGTGTCAAATGTCTTCTTGATGTCAAACACCCCCCCACGGCAATTTTCTTGATATCCATCACAGTAGTTATCTCCTCTACAGTTTCTAAAAAGGCTTGCATTGTTGATCTTCCTGATCTGAAGCCGTACTGACTTTCACTGATTAATTTATGTTTATTTAAGAATGTTTCCAGTCTGTTATTAAATAATTTTTCTAATATTTTAGAGAACTGTGGCAGCAGAGAGACAGGTCGATAGTAGGTGAAGAGATGTTTGTTCCCATTTTTGTATAACGGCAATATTTTAGCTATTTTCATTTTACTTGGGAATGAACCAGTTTGAAATGACAAGTTACTAATATATGTAAATGGTTTAGAAATCCCCTCAATGACATGCTTTACCAGTTTCATATTAATCCCATGTAAGTCAGTAGACTGTTTATTATTACATTTATTTACAATGTCGACCATTTCTTTTTCAGTCACAGCACTGAGGAACATTGAGTTGGGGTTCCTGTTTATTATTTTATTTAAATTTGGTTTAGTATGTGGCAGCTCAGGGATCATTTTAGATAAATTAGGTCCAATATTTACAAAAAAATTATTACAACTGTTAGCTATTTCATTCATATTATAGTTTTCAATATCTTTATCAATAAAATAATATGGATAATCCTGTTTATTTATAGTTTTGTTTATAATTGTAGTGGACTAGGCCTCCGACCAAAACCTGCCTCTGAAGACCTTCATGGGACAGGAACTGTTGTTTCATTGATTTGAATCCAGAAATACAACTTAGCTCATCCAGAGACTTTCTAATTGTATCCTGAAGTAATCAATTGAAAGAACACTCTCTTTTTTATATTATCATTACTATTTTACAATATCTTGATAATCAAAAGTGTGTTTAGTTCATACCATTTCTAAATGTTGAAGTGAACCACTCATTTTAAATCAACTGTGAAACAGTAATAATGATTTTTTTAATCCTCATTTAAATTAGAAATCAAGTTAAATGTCTATTTTACAAAGTAATTATGCATTTTGATTTTCTGTCTGAAATGAGAACGAGTGATGTCGGTCAAAAGTCAGAGACAGTCAAAAAACAAGTTGTTAGAACGGGCTGTCGTGTTTTTAAAACTCTCAGACAGTAAATAAGAAAACTGGAACCTGCAGTGTTTCTCACTTCGCCAAAACAATTCTCTGTCTGTTCCTAAAACATTCTTGCTGTTTTCTTGACTTGAAAAAACCCTTTGACATCACTAGAACCACACCCCTGTTGGTTGCTTCAACCAATCAGGACTTACTAAAAGTGACCGGAAGCAGAATTCTTTAAAAG